ATGCAAGTTATTAGAGCAAAGGAACCCACAAACTGCCCCAGGAGGCCTGGGCACTCCTGGGTGATGGATGGCCACAGGCATAAAGCTTTTCTTTGACCTGTTCCTGGGTCTTCTGTCAGGATCTCTGTGCTGACACTGTATTGCAGATTGGTTCCTATGCAGCAGCAACGTTCATTTCAGAAGGCTCTATATACTGTGCCTAAGTACACTGGCTCAGATGGGAATTCTATGACCTTTATCATTAGTGCTGGAATTCAATGGTTCAGAAACCAGGGGACCCTGAAATGACTTTCCATTAAATTTGATGGGGAAATCATTCAGGTCAGAACCAATCTAAAGTCTTACAGAATTTATCAGCACACACGCTGCCCAGGGGGCCCTGTCTTCTCTCTCTTCCTGGGGTCTTCCATGAAGAAGGCTGAAGGAGTCAGCCCTTCCTGGGAGAGGACTTGACAGAGAGAGGGCACAGAGGCCAAGCAAGCCCTTCCTCCCAGGCAGCGATGGTCATGATTAAAAACCCACTGATGAGGTTGGAGACCACAGTGGGCACTTTACAAATCCCCAGAGGATAATCTAAATAGTTTCCCAATTAGCTCACCATCATAATTCTAGAGAGGAAACCACTCTAGATTCTTTTGTCTTTTTCTTTTTACAGTAAGGAAAGTGATATTTGTGGATGTTAAATTGTTAAATAACCTGCCCAAAGCCTCTTTGTGACTGAGCTGAAGTTGGAATCCTCATGGGGTCCCCTCAATGCCCTCTTGAATACCACCTGGTCAGCAGATGGGCCTGCTGGGGCCTGGGGCAAGTGAACTTTCCTTACCATTATCCTTTGGCTCCCAGCAGGTCTCTAAAATCCTTTCTTTTTGACCTTTCTTTAAAATGCTAATTGCATCTGTGAGGCTCAAGGGGCCTTTGCCCCATTGGGAGCCCCCTGCCAGGTGAGCCCCTGCTGTGAGTCAGCACAGAGAGCCCCCCAGCCCAGGGCTGGTGACTGGCATGCAGGGAGCTCACTGCCAGGCTTTGGCCTCTGCACACCCTGCAGAGCCAGGCACCCAGGGAGCCCAGGGAAGGCCTCCAGCAGAGGCTCCACCTCAGCAGGTGCCTGGGCAGCTGGCTACTCTGCCTCTCCCTGGAGCCTGAGGCTAAGGGGGCACTTTGAAGAACCTCCATGGGACAGGACCTGGGTAGGGCCAACCTGGACCTCCTCCAGGCAGCAAGGAGGCTGGTGGGGATGGGTGGCAGGGATGGGTGCCTCTGGGAAGCAGGGAGGCATGGGGAGGGAGCAGCGCTGTGGAGAAGATCAGAAACACAAGTGTGGAGCTCGGAGAGGACGGAAAGCAGAGGAAGAGGGGGAGGTAGGACTGAGAAGGGAAAGGAAGGAGACCCAGGGGCAGAAAGAGAGAACCATGAAGACTCCAGAAGCAGAGCAGAGGCCACAGCCAGCCTGGGGCTTGCCTGGCTGCTCCACTTCCTTTCCAAGCACCCATGGCTTCCGGCCCTAACAAAGCAGGGCTCCAAAGCTTCACCTGCGGGAAACACCTAACTCTCTTGTAAAGGGAGACACAGAATCCTGGTGGCAAGTCCTGGCAGGTGAGACACACGCTCACTCCTGGCTGCCTCCTATCCCCGAGGATGCGTGCTTGAGGTGCCCCGTGCTCAGGCCTGGGGCGCCCTCGGACACGCATGTCCAGTCCTATGAAGCTGCAGGTGTGCTCTGGCTGCAGGGGAGCCAGGGCTGTGTGTTAGGATGTGGGGGCGAGGCAGGACCCTTCATTGTGTCTTCAGTTCTCATCACTAAGAAGAGCTATTGTTCTCTTCAGCCCACTGATGTGTGGAACAGAAGTCAGACTTGGGGTGGCCCAAGAAGACTGAAGACCTGTGGGGGGAGCTGGAGGGGAACACATTCCAGGTTGGTCTGAAGAAGTGAGCAGCTCCAACCTGAGCAGCTGAGCTACCACTGGAGCAGCTGACCTAGAGGAGACTCTCACCAACAGGGTCGCCGTCTCCAGCACCTGCACCGTCGTCACCAGCTGCTGAGGGCTCGCTGGGCACCAGGCCTCTGCTGAGCATTCTTTCTGCGTTAGGTCCGTTCACGCTCCTTCTACTTACTGCGCCTGCCTTTCTCTCCAGGCCTGTTCTTTGTCCCCAAGCTCCCTGGCTTGTGATCCTCAGGGAGTTTGGATCTTGAGAAGAGGGATCTTGACAAGTCTGGAAAGTCTGGGGAGAGGGCAGTGGTGGTGAGGAGATGCCCACAGAACCGCGGGGCTTAGAAAACAAAGCTCTTGCCAGAAGCAGAAATAGATTCAGTCTCCTCTGTTTGACAGCAAGACTCTTCCTGGTCAAGGAAGTCGATCAAATCTGTCTCCAGCCCAGCCTTGCCTTCTGAGCCCCTCAAGAGCCAGTAAGAACTGAGTCCAGGCCCTGAAGCACTGCGACAGGACATGTGACATTGAGGCGCTCTCCTCCCTTCTCTTCCCTTGGCCTTAAGGCCCTGCTCACTCAGCTGGAGAGACCAGTGTCCTGGTCACTTTCCCTGGCAGGGAGGCGGGGTGGTGGGGTGCCTGTGTGCAGGTTGCCTCACTGCAGGCCACTGATGGTGATGGGAGCCCTGCCTGGCCATGCGCAGGCCCTCTGCCTGGACAGCATCTCTAGACACTTTCTGCTGGACCTTATCGTGTGAGTCCTTGTCAGCTGTTTATCAGCTGCTCCTGTGGTAGTTCAGCTGCTCAGGTTGGAGCTGCTCACTTCTTCAGACCAACCTGGAATGTGTTCCCCTCCAGCTCCCCCCACAGGTCTTCAGTCTTCTTGGGCCACCCCAAGTCTGACTTCTTTTCCAGATAGGACAATAGCACTTCCTGGTGTCTCTTGTCTCTGACCTGAATATTCTATCAGTCTTCAAACATCTCTCATAAAATGTGGTTTCTAGAGCCTCATGGAGCATTTTGACAGATTGAAACAAGGGAGGCAGGGAGAGAACAGTTAGAGGGGCAACAGGTGAGGGCCGGTGGAATCTTATGGACTGAGAGGCTGAGGGAGCCACATTAAAATACATGAGTGCTTGGGTCAGAGGCTCACAGAGGTGTTTCCTTGGGTCTCTTGTCCACAGTGATGATCCACGGAGGCACCAGTACTGGACTGTTGGCTGTGTTAGCAGAGGGCCAAGGGGTGTCAGGGCTTGACGGGGCTCCAGGGCGGAACCCCTGGGAATTCTTCTATTTAATTGCTATTTCTTAGGTTCAGACCATGACCTGTGGGCAGTAGTGGGCAGCAAGTGCCACTCTCACAGTGAGACTTCTGTCTTTGGGGAGGCAAACCCTGAAAATAGAATCTAAGGAACATTTATACAAGCATTCTAACTCCAAGAGCTACCACCAAGCCACACCCATTGTAATGTGGGTTTTTAAACAGCTAAGAAGGTCAACTTGCTTCTGGAATACAAGAAATCCATAAAGACAACCCTCTAAGCTAAGCATTATTATCTCCTAAGTTTGGGAAAGTGTCTCTTACAGGATCTCAGGTCTTTAAAATTGTTACACTTGGAAATGGACACTGTCATTCAGAGAGTTGAAATGAAGAACTTCTGAGGCCCCTTCAGATGATGAACAGCCAATTACAACCTCTGCTCGGGGATCTTACAGAAAAGCTGCAGCTGGGCTAGGGCTTTGGCCTTTCTTGAAGCTTGGGTGAAGGAAGTGGTTCAGGGATGCCCCCTATTGTGACATCCTCCTGCTTGTTCCTTTCCTAGGTACAATATACCCAGCATGCCCTCAGTTGCTCTTCCTCTTGTGTCCTTTATTGCAGGAAAAGCCACCACGGTCCACACCTCTGGGACTCAAGTCAGAAGCCTGGCAGTCATCTTGGATCTCCCACACCTGTCCTTTTTACCCTTCAGTTTCCTGCTTAGTTATTAATCACATCACACGAGATACCATAGTGTGGTGGTTTGGCAGATTTATCTGTCCTTGAGTATACCCCCACCATAGGCACAAAGTAATCCAGACTTTGAGGATGGTACCAGAAGATCTCCGAAGTGACTATCACCCAAATTAACGAGTGACTATCTCCCAAATTACAACTCCAACACAGAACACTGTGGATCACCTCTTTGATAGCCCCCAGTTCCAGGTGATGGGCAGAATCACAGCCTTTGGAACAGAAGGCTCCTGTGTTTCTCCTTCACTAGCAAAGCAATACACCTTTTTCCTCAAAAGGATATCCTTGTTATTGGATTGGCATCAGGGACAAGGACCAAGCTTTTGGTAACACCTTGAGACCACTCCCCCCCTCCCCTAACCCATAACCAAAAAGTCACCTGCCTCAGGGGAGATTGTCCTTCCCAGCAGGGAATTTTTTTTTCAATATTTTTTAGTTGTAGATGGACACAATACCTTTATTTGTCATTATGTGGTGCTGAGGATCGAACCCAGGGCCTCACACATGCTAGCCACAACCTCAGCACCCCCAGCAGGGAATTATTAATGAATATTCCCTGGGCGGCTCCCCCAGAATTGCTCCTTTTCTGCCTTTTCATTGCATGGGTGGAGATAAGGGGAGGAGACTTGAGAAGTAAGAAACCTGGAAATTATAAAAAGGATAAGATTCACCTCCTGGCACAGACACTCAGCTCTGGGCCCCCTTCTCTCTCTCTCTTTTTTTTTTTTTTTTTTTTGTGTGTGTGTGTATGTGTGTGTGTATGGTGCTGGCGATTGAACCCAGGACCTGTGCATGTGAGGCAAGCACTCTACCAACTGAGCTATGTCCCCAGCTCTGTGTTACTGTTCTTTAAATAAAATTCGTACTCTATGCTTACCTGGGTGTTTCCCAGGTGTTAAATCTTCACATCTGGGGAAGCAGACCTCGTCACCAGTAACCGGAGGTAACACTCTTACTGGGCAGTCTCCAAATAAGTGATAAAACAACAGGGAAAAGACTCAATCATTCCATTCCTTATTCTGAAATCTTTATTCTGAGTGGATTTCCACAAGATAAAAGTTCTCATGGCTAGCTGCCTGTCCAGGCTGAAGAGGCCCTGCAGATACCTCCTTTCAGAGTCCTGCCAACCTTGGTTGGCAGGAGCTCTGTTGCAGGGCTATTTTCTTGGACTGCAGGGTTGAGGGAAGGATCACTCAAATTCTTCCCATTCTGATAATTAAAAAAGGAGATTTGGAGTCAGAAGGCATTTTAATCAGCAACTTCGCAGGGAAAAGCCTCCTGGTGATTTGATCTTATGGGGATTCCAAGTTCTGCTCAATCTCCTCAACTAGCTCTGAAGAAGGAATCTGGTAAGGCATTGCTGGAGTATCCGGCAGGGATTCCTGCTCCAAGGACCCCTCTTCAACGGGTTCTGTGTCTTCCTGCTTGAATGAGACTTTCTTTTTGAAAGTGGTTAGGGAAATCGATTTCTAAATAGAAGGCAAAAAAGGTATTAGTTGTCATGGATTGAATTAGGAATGTCCCCCTGAAAAGCTCATGTTAAAACATGGTCCCCCAATGTGGCAAGGTTCAGAGGTGGCACTTTAGAGAAATGGTTGGATCATGAAAGCTGTGACCTCATTAGTTCATTAATCCATTTGATGGATTAATTATTTGAACAGACTACTTACTGAGTGGTGACTGTAGGCAGGTGGGGCATGGCTGGAGGAAGTGGGTTCCTGGGGACATGCCTTGGGCATTATATATTTTGTTCCTGGCTCCTCACATTCTCTCTGCTTTCTAGCTGCCATGAGCCCAGTAGGTTTCCCTACCCCACCTTCTGCCAGGACGGTCTGCTTCACCTTGGGCCCAGAAGAATGGCCTGAGCTGACTATGAACTGAGATCTCTGTAACCATGAGCCCAAAATAAAATTTTCCTCTATTAAGTTAGTTGGATATTTTGGTCACAGTGACAAAAAGCAGACTAATACATTAGTAGAGGCTAACCACACTCCAGAAACATGCCCAAGAATGGCAGGAACACAATGTTGCTATTTTCATGCCAAAGGCTAAGTACAAAACTGAAATACAGCTGCCATAGCAAAGCAGACCATCAAATCTGCTAGGATCAAGTGACTCACCAATGATCTAACTGCCTCTGGAACAAAACTCAACGCCTTTGAAAGGAAAAGCAACATGGTCTAGGCTCCCTAGAAAATACCACCTACAACGTTCAGCATAGGAGTAAAAATTACTAGACGTAGGAGGGAGTAGGAAAATGTGAACCATAATCTAGTGAAAAAGTATTTAATAAAAAGAGACCCCAGGACATAGATGCCAGAATTAGCAGACAAGGACTTAAAACAACTTAATATTTTCAAAAATTTAAGTAAAAAAAGAACATAGTAAGTGAAAGAATAAGTCAGTAGAGAAAAAGGAAATTATTTTAAAAAGATAAATAAACATTTCTGTAATCCCAGTCACTGTGGAGGCTGAGACAGAAGGATTGAAAGTTTGAGATCAGTCTGGGCAACTTAATGAACTCTGTCTCAATATAAAATTTAAAAAAGGGGATGGGGACCTTATCTCAGTGGTAGAGCACTTGCCTAGCATGTGTAGGGTCCTGAGTTCAATCCCCAGCCAATATCAAGAAAGAGGGAAAGAGAGAGAGGTTGGGGTGGGGGGCCGGGAAGAAAGGAAGGAAGAAAAGGGGGGATGGGCAGGGGAAACCCAGCTAGAAATTCTAGAACTGAAAAGTATGATATCTGAAAATTTTTAAAACCCACAGAAATCCTATCATAGGATATGGAACAAGAGAGTGTCAACAAACCTGAAGACAGATCAATAGAAATTGTCCAAAGTACAGAGGAAAAAAGATTGAAAAAATGAGCAGTGCCCTCCGGGACCTATGAAACAATGTCAGGTGTCTAATACCCTTTGATTGTAGTCTCTGGCTGAGCCAACTCCTTCCCATCTTTGCCTAGAAGTCTCAGAGCTTCATTCCACACTGAACCCTAAGGGACCGAGCAGAGAGCTCTGGGTGAAGCACTTGGTCACATGATCTCTAAGACCCTTCTGCATTCAAAGTGTTGAGTCTGTGCAACAAATACCTGTATTGATTTTTATGAAAACGTATTCCTAAAACATGAATGCTTCGGAGCTTTATAAACAATAGGAATCGCTTTCTGACTGAGATACAAAATTATGGTTTATATTGTCAAAGCTCCTCTACTTAGTGAACAGAAACCCATATAGGTCAAGCCTCGCTGGCTCTCTATGCCTGGACTCTACTGTTACCCACTCTACGGAGCTCTTCTTGATTCCTGTAATTGGAATGACCTCTGCCACACTGAGAACTCTGTTTCTATTCTTCTTTTGACACTTCCACTAGACTAGTATTCTATCTGGGGTACTCAAGAAAAAAAATTAACAAAGTCTTGCTAAGACAAAAACAAAGATGGTTTTAAAGGATTAAGGGAGGAAAATCTGGCAAAGCTTTGAGGGTGTGCATATAAGCCAGTTAGTCGAACCAGCAGGACTGCTGAAATTTCATGAAACCCCTCCTGGGCCTGTTTGAAGCCAGATTTCTCAGCACTAGTGATGCGAAATTTGCAGGCAGCCAATAGCAAGGGATAGTCCATAATCCACCTTGAGCCAATTGGGAACCAGAGCTTGGCATCTTGTCTTTTATCTCGCCCTTTCAACTTCTACTTGGAAATTAACTCAGACCTGAATGATGCAGCTCTCCCTTGCTGGTAGGTGATTCTTTCAGCTTTATTTTAGATCCCCCTTGGGTTCTGTTTGTTCCCTTCTAACAAGTGGAATCTATTTACATAACCACAATTTGCACACGAACTCTTCTCTAAATGTGAAAACTTGCACACAACCCAGTCATTGTCTCTTAGTTCTTATCTTCCCTTATAATTCCCCACGTCTCACCCTTGGCAAAAGAGCAAACCTGTTGTTTATCAAAATCTTGCTGAGGCTGGGCGCAGTGGGGCTCACCTGTAATCCCAGCAGCTCAGGAGACTGAGGCAGGAGGATCACGAATTCAAAGCCAGCCTCAGCAACGGCTAAGCGACTCAGGGCTGGGGAAGTGGTCAATGGTTGAGTGCCCCTGAGTTCAATTCTTGGTAAAAAAAAAAAAAAATCTTCCTGAGGTATATTGCTGCCAGGTGCAAAACATCCCCAGTGCAACACAAAGGGACATTCAAAATACAGAAGTGAGCCAAGTTTTCTTCGATAGAGCTACTGTAAAACTAGGGTAGAGACTTCGGAGTCCATTATCATATATTTTTACTTCTATTCGCAGAGAAACTTGGTGTTAGAAAATGGTTGGGTCATCAGTAAGGTGATGGTGACTTTCACTTACTGAGCCTAATTTCTCCCATCCCCCAAAAACTGCTCCAAGCATGAACCCTTCCTGAGGGAGAGCTCTCTAGACCACATCAAAAAATAGCACAAACCATCTTTCTTTTAATTTAGTTATACATGTTCAGCTTTAAAAATAAATAACTGATTATAACTAATTATATATATATATATTTGGGTATATTCATTATTTATGAGAATGCTGAGTATATTATTATAAATGAAAATAAACTTAGTACTTTCATGCTATCAAAGTCAGCTTTGGAAACCAGCCAAAGTTAGTGACTTGTAGAAGGATGTAGTGATAGTTGAAGAAGATTTCAGATCTCAAGCCCGACAACCCCCTTAAATGAATTACCTGTTCAGGCATCATGTAATTTGTAGAAAGCATGAGATAGCAGCAGACATATTTTAGGAAATTGTAGGAAAGATTGTGGGAGATAAAATATTTGCTTGTCAGGGTGGTAAATGCACAGTTGTTTCCAACTATTCTGAACTAAGAACTTACATTCATCATTATAGCATCCAAGAGGAGGCACCGGAGGCTTGACAAGTAAAGAAAATTTAATAATAAAATACTAATATTACCATATGCATTAAGTATGCACTGATAACAACCATGTTTGGTTTCTGAAAAAACTTTGAATAGTTTTTGGAAAGGGCTCAAAGGATCTCTGAAAAAAATATTTGTTCCAGGTGAATAGAATCTAGATGTGTAAGTCAGTAACATCAGTGATATTTCCTGAATCTAACATGAATTTGCCTTTTAACCTTTCCTATTTTTATTGACAAGACCTGGTTCAGACATGAATGTGTGACAGGGAGGGAAAGTTGACTAAGGGGGCCTCAGTTGCTCAGCACGGTGGTGGCGGCTGCCCTGGGGATTTCCTGGAGTCCATCCCTGGGATGGGAATGGGCCATGGTGAGTGCCCCCTTCCTACCTTGCGACACTCTTTACACTTCTGTTGAATCTGAAGCTCTTCTTGTTTCATCATTGCTGCCATTTCCTTTTCCCTGAGGCTGTTCTCATATTCCTCCTTCAGCTGGATCTGTTCTTGCATATTCTGGGGTAATGTCACAGGCTCAAGTCAGGTCAGCACCAGGAGGTCTTATAAGAGGGCCCGCCCTCCCTGGGGATAGTCCTGGACCTGGGTCCTTTAAGCCTGTGGAGTTTCTTCCTGTAACTAGCTTTAGCCTGCTGGCAGCTCCAAACCCATCGACTCCACACCCCTGAGTAGGATTCCAGCTGCAGACTCTCCACACTTCAGGGATACTTGGGCCTAAGTCATCCTGGGAAGGTGGATGAACCAAGCCCCCCTGGCCAACTCCAGCACCCTGCCTTGGATCCCAGTCCCTCCAGGGAAGCTGAGCCCTGCACACACCTGCACACACATGCACCTTTTCATTTGCTAGAGCTATTTTCCTGTAATGATAAAGCCATTGAGCCAGGAACTCTATTGGGTCATTGGGCTGAACCTTCGCCACTTCTGCCAGTGCCTGGGACAAGGAATTTCCAAAGCACTTCTTCAGGTATTCCGTTTCCATCCTGGGGACCTGGGAAGCATCCAAACAGACACATTCTTGTACACAGGTAATCATATTTTAAAAACAGATTCATTCTAACCAACTCAGATTTATTTCAGGATAAATATGTTACTTGGTCGCACCCGTGTTCATCAGCTTCCCATGGCTGTGACAAAATACCTGAGGTAATCAACATATAAAGACAAATTTATTTTTGTCAGTAGTTTCAGTCTATGGGTGTTCAGCAGAACACCATGGCAGGGAGCATCAGGTGGAGCAGAGAAGCTCTTCTTATAGTGGCCAAAAACAAACAGCAAAAGAGAAAGCAGTCAGAGTCTCACAATCCCCTTTCAAGGGCTTCCACTAGGCCTCACCCCTGTAGAGTTGCACCAAATCCCTATAGCACCTCAGGCTAGAGATCCAGATGACAGCATCTGGCCTTTGGGGACATTTAAGATCCAAACCATAGAATCACCCTTCTCAAAAGAACCAACAAATGCATACTTGCCAGTCGCCCTTATGTTCAAGCAGACTTGTTTTCCAAAGCTCTCCAGTTGGAGTAGATCAGACAGTAGGTCCTGGGATCACCAGGCTTGAGAGGAGCTTGATATATTGGTGGTTAAGAAGGCTGAGACCTTTAATGCACACACATTTCTACCCTGTAGGGAGAAAACAAGCAGGAAGAGACACCAGGGAAGAGCTCTGAGCACCCTGAAAGGTGAGCTATTGTGAGGTCAGAAGGACAGCCTGTGACTTAGATCTAAGATTAGCTCATTTACTTCACAAAGGACCACAGAATCTCCCTGGGGAGGAGCAGAAGGAAGGGGAAATGCTAGGTCCTTTGGCCACTGCTAACACACTGTTCCACTCCCCAGTTCATAAGCAGAAACTGCCTCAGGCTGGTCACGCCCCCATATTTACTGTTGATCCGATTTGACAAGCAGGAGGGAAGGTGGCTCAAGCCAGAAGGTTCAAGGAGGCATGGCCATGAAGCAGAGCAGGAGGAACACAGACTCTGGGCTCAGAAGGACCAAGTTCCAGGCCTGGTGCTGCCACTTGCAGCTGTGTGATCATCGGAAAGTTGCTGCATTTCTCTGAGCCTTGGTTCCTCATCTGTAGAAGAGAAATAACTAAAGTATGCACTTTATAACAAACAGAGGATTCATAGATGTAACACACACCTGAGAGGCCCTGGGCCTGGCACATGTTAGGATTTATTAAATGTTAGCTATTAACAGTAGAAGACTGTGCCGTGCAATAGCCCAGCACCTGGCTCCCTGACCAACTCCATATTCCTGAAATTTACATATTTAAACCCCAGAAGAATCCAAGGAATAGCAGAGGCTCAGATCCAGCCTTCACATTTTTCTGGAGATGTTTTTTAGTTTGTTCCTCCCTGTAAGGTCCTTGCTTAGCATGTGGATGTCCATCATAAGTGACAGCTGCCATCTTCAGTTTTACTTTCCTTCCTAAGGGCATTTCTGAGAAAGGCTCACCCCCTCCTACACACCCCACCATTAACCAGCAATAACCAGCCATCATCCTCTCTGGATCCCCATCATTCAACATCTACACTACCTGCCAGGTCTTCTACCCCGTCTCAGTTTTTTGAGGAATGTGACATTTTCTGTCCCCTCAGGCCAGGCAGGGATGTTCCATAGGAAGAGCATATCCCATCAGGAGGCATGTGATGTCACAAAGTGCTCAGTTTGATCACTTGGTCGAGGTTGCATTGGCCAGATTTCACCATTGTAAAATTTCTGATGGCTGGTTATTGCTGGATTGCTAACAGCTAACCTCCAGATCACACTTCCCAGCTCAATGGGATGCCAACACCTCAGAGGATCACACTTTGAAACACACACCTGCATCCACTATTCTGGGCCTCACTTCTCTCTGGAGAAGTCTGTCCCTTTCTTAGATGAAACTTGCTTTCTATGCTTGCCTCAACATTTCTTGGGTATTTAATCTTCAACACTAGGGGATCATGGACCTGATCTTGACCTCCAAAATCAGTATCAATGTCAAGGTCATGAAAAACTAAATAAAGATAGGGAACCAATATGGATCAAAGGGGACTACACAGCCATAAAAACTACACACAACATGATTCTAGATTGGGTCAAGACCAGAAAAAAGAATTCTGTAAAATATATTGTTGGGGAAATTAGGCAAGTTAAATGCAAACTGTAGATTATACAGTATAATTTATTAACTTTCTTGAGGGAGAGAATGTCTTAGTTCTAGGGCTGAATAGTGGCCCCCAAAGGTCTCTGTGTCCTAATACCTGAAACTTATGAATGTGTTACCTTATATGGCAAAGGGACTTTGGAAATGTGATTAAATTAAGCATCTGGAGATAAGGAGTAGATTATCCAAGTCAGTATAATGTAATCACAGCATCTTTATAAGACAGACCAGCAACGTCAGACAGGAAGGGCAAGCAGAGAAAGAAGATGTAATGTCATCAAAGCCAGAAGCCAAGGGCAGCCTCTAGAAGCAGGAAAAGGCAAGGAATGGATTCTCCCCCAGAATCTCCAGAAGCCTTCTGACACTTTGTTTTTAGCCTTGAAGACTCATTTAGGACTTCTCACCTCAATAACTGTAAAAGAATAAATTTGTTAAAGTCACAGGTGTAGGGCCGGACAATGGGAATGGAGGTGGGTGGTGTCTCTTTCTGCTAATCTGTAGCCCAACTGAACTAATGAATGAGAATAAACAATCGTCTGCACCCTCTCACTCAGTGTAGTTTAATGACAAATGACCAGCCCGGATTCTATGGGGGTGGTCATTTGTCATTATGGGCTTGTGGAAATGCAGATTCTCAGGTCCTACCCAGAGCTACAGATTCAGAATCTTCATTTTCACAAAATCCCCTTGAGTTCGGTCCTCAGCCCTGAAAAAATAAAGGGGCGGGGGGACGGGGCGGATATAACTTCGTGGTAAAGCACTCCTGGGTTCAATCCCCCCAGACGCAAAAACAAAAACCAACATGGGAAATGCTAGCAGAGTATTCTGCACACTCAACTGGGCCTAGGAAGAGTGATATCGCTAGGGTCCCGAGGTCACCTGCAAACACAAAGGTGCAGAAGCGTGACATTGCCATACCACAGAGCATACTGCGAGTCTCCCAGGGGCTGGGGTCTCCTGCCTTCTAGGACAAGCAGCTTCTCAAGGTTCCTTCCCTAAAGTCCGCTGCCCCTTCACCTCTCCCCATAGAGTCGACACCCCACCCAGGCCCGATGGCTCCCAGCTTCTGGGTGGCAACCCACCTGTACCCTCCCCTCCGCGCGCCCCCAGTCCTGCGCGCGCGTCCCCTCCCCTCGGGCGCGCGTTCCCGCTCCGTCCCCCTTGGCGCAAGCTCCGCTCACTGTTCCGCGCGACCCTGCGGGGCGGACGCCTCCTCTGGCCCGGGAGGGGCGCGCTCGTTGCCTAGCATCGGGACGCGATTCGCGGACTGGTGTAGGCGCATGCGTCGGGTGCGCACACCAAGAAGGGAGGAACCCTTCTCAGAACGGTTCCTCTACCCTGGCAGAGGCGGTTCTCACGGTTGGACCTTGAGAGCTGCGAGGTCGAGGAAGAGTTGGTTCGCTCCTCGGAGCTCCGTAGGTCGCCACTCTGTGAGCCCGCTCCTCCTCCTCATCCCCACCCTCCTTCCCCTCCACTTTCTTTCTCCTCCCTCCAGGTCCCCTTCACCTACTCTTCCCTCTCCTCCTCCTTCTCGCTGGCAGGACCCCTAGGGCCTAGGGAGAAACCTTTCTGCAGCCCCGATAGGAAAACTGCCCTAAACGCCCCAGGTTGATGGTTACCAGATAAAATACTGCAAGGCTATGTAAATTTGAATTTCAGATAACGGGTTAATTTTTTAGTAGGAATATATTATGAAATAAAGTTACTTATTGTTTCTCTGAAGTTCAAATAAAAGCTCTGCTTTTATTTAACTTTGGGACCTTCCTGGGTCCCTTTCCTTCTTACTCAGCTGCCGGCTTCTGGCTTCTCCGAGGCTGTCACGGAAACTCCCTCAATGGCTGCAGCAGCTTCTTCAGGCCAGAGGCAGCTCTTTCTGTAGAAGGGGCTTTAGTGGCCTAGGTTCCTAGTGGTGCATATAAAAACAACATTACTTAGTGCAGGCGAGATGGGCACTATTGTAGGTTCATGGACAGGGACCAGATATTAAATGAGAGGACAAAACAAGCATTCATTAGGTTCCACTGACAAGGCTATGCAACTTCCAGATTCCAGACACACACTGCACTTGGTCTACTCTAAGGTTCTCCCTAATGACATAATCCCCTTCCCACGTGTTATCTTTCTGAAGCAGCAGAAGGACTCCCTTCCCTTTTTCATGTTACTTCAAATGACATGAGACTTCTGTGTAGCACTGTCTTTTGAGTGGATCCTACTAAAGAAGCACAGTGAAGACTGTGTTCCAAGTCAGTGGCAATAATGCTTTCCTCTGAGCAATTAGGACACTAACTTTGTAGAAAATTAAGTTCATTTTTTTAGCTACTTTACTCTTCAGGTTAGAGTTTTTAGGATTATGTTTATGCATACACACATACGTGTCCCTTTCCCTGCTGCTATTACTAATGCAAAAGATGACATATGTTATTTCTGCACCTTGCTTTTTTCACTTCATTCTGTGTCCTAGGGAACATTTCTAGTTTTAGAGAGCATCATCCTTCTCTTTTATGTCTGCACAAAAATCCAGGGTGCTGTATCTCATTGATCCCTATTTTAGGAACATCTGAATGGTGTCCCACTTTGACTATGGTAAATGATAGTGCAAGTAACTATGTACACATGCCGTTTATATTTTTGCTTGTGTACCATTGAGATAGGATTCAAGAAGTGAGATTGGTGAGTCAAACACATGCGATTTTCTAGGTTTGGCCAATTCCCCTCCATAGGATTGTATTTTGCTCTCCGCCAACATCTCATGACAGAAGAAAAGCACTGGGGCCTATGGATGGACCTCAAGATGTCAGTGATGAAGAATGCTAGGTGCAGTTGTCCAGAGACAGAAGCAGACACACTGGCATTCTGTCCACTGCCATTTCCAAACTTAGTGTCCTTCCTCACCAAAATTGAAAATGTTAATGCTTATCTTTCATCTTTCAAACTGTCTTTTTACACAGATAGCTACTGCCCGGTAGTGATATAATCTCAGTACCTGTAGTTTAAATTGAACCTATTTATTTCTTCATAGGCTTTTACATAATCCTATTGGATTTTTCTCCTGATATTTGCCATCCAAAGTCTTGTAGAAGTTTCTCAGTGGCACAGTTAACTGAATTTTGAAATACAGGAATTTCCTTTGCACCTACATTGTAGTCTAACGAACACTCTGGAACTGTAGTTTAAGGTTGGAAAACATCCACTGCCAATCTGTGTGGGAATGGAGATGTGATTTCTTGTTTCAGTTTCTGGCACTGGAAGTATGTAATGCAGGTTGACATTTCTTGTGATCCAAGCAACATGAGTTGTTCAAATGACATTACTCCAGTGTAAGTTTTAACATGAGTGTTGTTTGTCTTGTAATTTTTAGGTTGAATTAAGAAATATTATCAAGAAGTCCAAAGTCATTTTTAATGTTTGAAGTAGTAATTTGACAGTGATTCTTCTCATTCAAAGAATTTATACTTTGTATTCCAATAATCTATCTGCAAAAGAGATCCCATTTGTGACAGCATCAAAATACATATAAAATACTTAGGAATAGGGCTGGGGTTGTGGCTCAGAGGTAGAGCGCTCGCCTAGCATGCATGAGGCACTGTTTGATCCTCAGCACCACATAAATATAAAATAAAGATATTGTGTCCACCTATAACTAAAAACAAAATATGAAGAAAATACTTAGGAGTACATTTAACCAAAGAGATGAAAGATTATGCACTGAACATTGTAAAACACTAATGGGGAAAAACATTGAGGATGGCACAAATAAAGGGAAAGATATCCTGTGTTCATGAATTGGAACAATCCATGTTAAATTGGAACAATTTTGTTAAAAAATGTCCATATTACCTAAAGTAACCTACGGTTTCAATGCAATAAAAGATTTGGAACCTATCAACATTCCAACGAAATTATTCACAGCACTTTTTAGTTGATAAAACAATTCTAAAATTTCTTTGGAACCACAAGATTCCAAATAACCAAAGCAATTCTGAGAAAGAAGACAGAGCTGCAGATATTCCACTTGCCTATAATTGTTCCATGAATACTGTTCATGGAGGCTGATTCATTTCAAACCCAGCATTGACTCCTAAAATAACAACAACTGGGCAGCACTGGGAACACGTGTCTACTTATCAAGAGCCAAGGGAAAACATTCAAAGTCATCTGCCTGGTTTTTAATTGACTGTCAGTGTTGTTCCAACTGTTTGCCCAACTGTCCTCACCAAAAAGACTGCTAATCCAAATTGGCTTGGGGGTATTTTTTTGACACTTTTTTTTGGCCACTGAAATGAAACGAGTTTTAATAATTCACCACTGGCTAATGTCATTTCTTCTTTTATAACAAATGAACTACTTGGGAACTTATATTTGTTGCACTCTTACTTTCATTGGTAATTTTGGTGAAGAAATTCTGCTATGATAATTTCTAAAGTATGGATGAAAATATGTTAAAAGCTTGAACTCAGACAAGAGCATTTCATAAAATATACTACATTGATAAGAGTAAATTGAGATTTATGTTTGGGTTGATCCCAACTCTTTTTGTGAATAGCAATTTAAACTAGTTTCCCTTTGAAAAGAATGAGAGGGTAATTGACAGCTATTTCATGGGTAGTAGTACACAGTCTTTTTTATATACTTCCCAAAAATTGAGAGCATGGATTACTGTAATGATTTGTTCATAAATTCTTTGCAAGTCAGTGGTTTCTAATTCCTCACTTTCAACAAAACTAAAAGATGACTTAACCAAATGATAATGTAGAATATTAAAAATTATGTTTTGTGATTTTTTTAGCATGTAATTCATAAGAAGTTCAAAGAATTGACATTGCTATAATAAAACACACTATTCTTTTTTTATTTTTTTTTTTTTTGGTGCAGGGTCTCGCCTCAGGGAGTTGCTAAGGCTGGCTTTGAACTCATAATTCTCCTGTCTCAGTTTCCCAAGCTGCTGGGATTATAGGCATGTGCCACTTTGCCCGGCAAAACATGTTATTCTTTGTGTGAGCAGGTTTCTTAGTACTTCTATAGAAACAACAAATGGGAAGAAAAATTGAACCCTTCCTGTCTTGTAGCAATATGTAATAGTCATCTATGGATAAATGAACCAATTAGTTGAAAACTTGTTTAATTCATCTTATTAACATGCAATCCCATTTTTTACTTTTGTTTATCATTTAAAAGTTTTTAAAATGACTTACATTGCTTTGATAACATATTCTTGATATTGTAATATAGCTCAATTCAGAACAAATTTTTAACCCTTAGAGATTTATAGTCATAAGAAACATAAATAGAAAAGCATTTTAATGTGTATTGTATGTGTGTGTGTATTATTTTATTGTAGAGACAAGAGAGGATTAATGTAAGTATAAAACTATAATAGGATGAAACTCTATAAGACACATAGGAACAAAATAAAAGTTCCAGAAGAAAATTAAATGATCCAAAATTTGACTTCTAACAGAGATTTCATTTGTTGTTTTTAAATAGATGATTTGAATGTCAGGTTACTATGAAAATATTCACTCCTTTGAACACACAGAGTGATGTGATAGTTTAATTATATTAACAGTTTCAAAAAGTCAGAATTACATTCTTGGCAACTATTTAAACTTTAAAAATTTTTAGATATAAACTTAAAAAGGCACACAAATGTACACAGTTTTTTAAGCCTAATGGCTTAAACAGACAAATGGTTTTTTCTCTTATATAAAAGAAACTAGAGACAGACAATTCAAGCTGTCCAGCTCCTTGAAATCATTGGAAGTTCAGATCCTTCAGTCCTTCTGCTCTGCCATCCTTGAGAGGTGGTGTTTTAGGCCATGAGCCACATTATGGCTATTGGAGCTCCAGCCTCATGCCTGTCAGGGATCCCAGGGGAAGGCCACAACAGCTTTCCTAAGGACCCTTGAAAATGAAATTTTCTCCTGAGCATATTGCCAAGGGTTCTGCTACCAAGGGAATGAGAATACACATTTGGCAGGCAATTAGCAGTCTGCTGCATAGAGTTGGACCCGTGGGAGGCTCTCATCTCAGCATAGTCACTGCTGGCCCTGTGGCTGAGGTCCAGGCTCAGGCGGCCCTGGTGCTGGACACTGGGAGAGAACCAGAGGGGAGGGTTTGTGAGGA